GCGGAGTCTCACTATATAGTTATCGAATTAATAAAACAACATAGATTGGGGTTGTTTATACTGAAAGGGCCTGGCAACTTCCCAAAGGGATCCTTCCTGGTTTTTCAGGATTGATGTGCTCTTTTAGACACTGCCCTGCTCCTCTCCTGATCTAAGTGGAAAGGAAGGGAAGGGGGTAAAACTATTCAAGACAGTGTTGACGATTACAGCTAAAACCTGCTTTGATTCTGTCCCCAAGCTGAGATGTTCCAGGGTGTTTTCTTGACTGTTGGCACCAACTGGAAGCCTTTCACATCAACCACTGAAGGCAAATACATCCACTGCACCTGGTAGCTAAACAGTTTAATAGCTGAACTTATGCCCATCCTTAGTTAACTCAGGCTTTACTATCTACTCAACCTGTCATTTTTTTTTTTTTTTTTGGTTGTCATAATCAAGAATATATGCTTTCTTTTTAATTGTTTGCTTTAGGTTTTGGTTATGTGAAGGAAGCTTTTTTTTTTTCTTCTTTTTTTTAGAAAAATGTTTTTGTTCTCAAATCCTATTATAAGTAATTCATTTACATAAAACATTACCCAGTGGGATTCAGAGGCTATGGTAGGTAGTAATACTAATGTTGAACACTCAACATAGTTCAGGTCCTTTCTGCCTTAGTACTTTAAACGGAGCATTCTATTTAATTCTCACAGCAGCGCTGGGAAGGGGTGGGTGTTCTATTTTTTAGAAGAGGAAAACAGAAGCATAAATGAGTTAGGCAAGTTGCCCGCATCGTACAGCTGTTGATGATCACAGCCTGGTATTCAGGCGGTCTGATTCCGGAGCTCACTCATAATTAATACAGCTGTGGAGAGTATAATTTAGAATTAAATTTTTATTCTACCTGAAAATCAGAGGTTTGTTTGCCTGCTATAGCCTTACAATCCTTTTAAATATATTGGTTCTTACTTGAAATCATGCCACCTACTTTCACTCTCCCATATGCCACTGGTAAATTGCACTCTAATTCCCTTTGCCTCCTTCTTTGGGACAGTTTCATGACTGCTTCATGAGCCAGGGTGCCAGGGGTGTGTCTCAGTACAGCCCTCTCCTTGATCAAGTATGTCGATGCTGAGATACAGGTATCAAGCTGATATCAAATACATGCCTACATTTCCTCTTCTTGTCACCCAAAGCATGGGAAACTATGTAATTCCAGGTAAAAATGAGAGAGTAGGATATGCATTTATTTTTTAAATTTCTTTTAGATTAGGGCATAAATATATAGTCTCCATTGAGGATAATGCTTATTTAATTAGGCAAGGGCATATTTGTATGTTTGACCAATCAATTAGATTTCAATGGAACAAAACAAGACAAGACACACACACACACACAAAATAGACACCAAAACCAGAAGATCTGTACTACTCTTCTCAATATTTGGTTTAAATTTTATGTTACAGATACTCCATGCTATAGAAAATTAATATATTTTGAAATGCACTTCTTTTGATAGAAAAACTTCAGTTGTTTATGTTAGTTTTGTTATAATGATTATTATATATTAACTATGGAACTATAAAGGATTATGACTTTGATTTTAAAATAAAAAATGTCCTATGGAGGACTGGCCTTATTATCAGGCAGGGGGGTTGGTGGAAAGCTTCATGTTTTTCTCTTTCAGAACACATGTATGACCATGGCTTGTTTGGCTCAGTGGTTAGAGCATCAGCTTATGGACTGAAGGGCCCCAGGTTCAATTCCAGCAAAGGGCACATACCTTGGTTGCAGGCATGATCCCTGGCCCTGGTTGGGTGGGTGCAGGAGGCAACCAATCGATGTGTTTCTCTAACATTGATGTTTCTCTCTCTCTCTGTTTTTTTTTTCTCTCTTTCTCCCTTCCACTTTCCCTGAAAAGCAATGGAAAAAAATGTCCTTGGTGAGGAGAAAAAGAGAGAAAACATATATGTTTCTGTGCATCTTCCCCTTCTCCAAAGAATATTTCCCTCTCAGTTTCATCCCTTTAGTACTTACTATTTAGTACTTGTTAAAAACTGGATTTAGGTAAAGCAACCATTTGGCTGTGATTAGGCACACACTGCCTGAGCGTGATGCATTTCTGGAATGATGTTTTGGCACAAAGAGAATCTATAAACGGGAAACAGTTTAGGTGCTGAGGAAAAGAGGAAAGGCCAATTCAGGGGTTGAGCAGAAGTGAAGGGGAGGTATCTAGAACTAAAAGAAAGTTGATGGCAAAGTCAACCATCTCCCAATTCCCAATATCGGCCCCAAGATCAATAATGGCCCATCTGATAACCATCTTTGATCCCACCCAAGGGGATTTGTTCATTTTGGTTAGGTGGTATGTTTAACAGCTCCAGGAGTGACTGTGAAACTGGTCTGTGCTTCCCTTAGATGTGACCCTATCCGTTATCCGTTTTTTCTGTGCTCCATCCCATCCCTAGGAGCTGTTTCTCCATTGGTTGTTTGACTTTCCTTCATTAAATCCTGTGCACAGTAGCTTCTGGATCTTTCTTCAAGGGCATTTCTGTTGTCTTGGGCTTCGCAGCTGATGCACCTGGACCCAGGCTAGGAGCCTGAAATAGTTGACGTAGATTTTGTATTAGCCCACCCAACCTTTTAGTCTCGGCTTTTCAGGGTGCAGCCATGGGACATAAACCCATGATAAGCCTCATTTTCTCTCAGATGCAATGAATTTATGTGGGGCTAAACTTACCGGACTGCTTACATTCAGCATGAAATGGAAGAGACCAGCTTTGGCTGGTAATTTTTTCCAGGTGGGATTTATCACTCACACTGCCTCAGTTTGAACAGAGAAAAAAGAGACTACTAGTTGGTAGCTGGTAGTAAAGAGCTCCTGATCCTGCCCGGCCAGATCCAGGAGATTGGGGTTCGATTCCCAGTCAGGGCACATGCTTGGGGTGGTGGGCTCGATCCCCAGTGGGGGCATGCAGGAGGCAGCCGGTCAATGACTCTCTCATCATTGACGTTTCTATCTCTCCCTTCCTCTCCCTGAAATCAATAAAGATAATAAAAAAAAAAAAAAAAAAAAAAAAAAAGAGCTCATTGATCCTATTGTATGTTTGAAAAGGTAAAATTACAAGTGACTTTGTTCTAGCTTGGATTACCAAGTCCCCCTGCATTTATGTCTCTGGGGGACCATCCCATGCAGGCTCTGAGTACTTGGCTGTGTAATAAGGAACAAAGCTCCTCTCAGGCCACACTTCCATGTAATACCATTGGGTTGCCTTCCTTCTCTAATTGTCTTCACATATCAGCTTGGGCTTCATAATAATAACGAAATTTAATCGAGTCAATCCCATATGCCAGCCACTATTCTAAAGGTTTTACATGTCTTAGGTCACTCAATCGTCAACAGCAATTCTGTGAGGTAGGCACCATTATTACCCTCACTTTACAGATGCAGGAAACTGAGGCAGAAGGAGATTAAATGACTTGACCAAAGGCATGCAACTTGGAAGTGAAAATCTAAGTGTAGATCCCAGGGAGACTTGCTGTAAAGGTTATGCTGTTACTCCCTAGGGGTTAGGATAGAGTTCTTCTAGCACAAGTGACTGAGTAAAAGGCTATTCTCAGGCCAGGTTTCTATGCTAACAAGGGGCCTTCACAGCTAAGTCTATAGAGAGGTCTCTAAAATGCAGCTATAATTCCTAATGGCCTGAATTTAAAAAGCTCTCCAGGAATGACCTCTCATTCTGGGAACAGTTTGGAAGGAGACTAGAGGGTCCAATGAGGCCTCTGAGTGGTCCTCAGGCTGATGTCTGAGACAGGATTCAGAACTAGTTCTGAAGGGGCCTGGCGATAAGAGGTTTATTATGAAATTTGGCTTTTAATGGGCACTGGGGACTGGAAGTCTTCAAGAGCCTTAGCCTAGAACAGTCAGTTCACATCTTAAAGCATTTATCTGTGTTAGCTGCTTTGGTTCCTGTGAGTCCTGACTGTGTTTCCTCTTGTCCCTGAGCCATCCATGTCAGGATAAGAAGTCACTGCTTTAACTTTAGGCCACTGAGGCCACTGTGGATATGCATTCATTCTTTACATAGGGGCTGCTGCTATAAGGACAATGCTTATATAATTATGCTAGTACAGATCTGGCTGTTCGGTGTATCAGTTAGATTTAGAGTTCCTCTGAAACTCTGGGCTAGTTGGGGATCTTGTTGCTTCTAAAGAGGCAATAATGGGGTCCCAGGAGAATAATTTCTGAATGTGACCCTCACAGTCCAACCTAAAGTGGCCTCTCTGTCATTGACCATGTGTTTGTTTGGGTTTTTTTTTGCTTCTCTAGACTGACAATTATGTATAAACATTGTGCATTAGATGTTTTCATTTATGTCCCTTTTCCTAGACCACATTTTAAAACCCTTAAGATAAAAAATTGTCTTATACAATATGTTCCTTACTTATAATAGGTGTTAATAAACATGTTATTTTTTTGACCAGTTAAAATATGCTGGCATCTCTTTGCAAAACTAAGTCTTCTAGCATGACTATGACATGGACTACCAAAAGTCTACAGGATGTTGGTTGACATATTTCAGAGAATCATACAGTTTTAAGCTTACGATAATTTTGAAGTAGAAAAATAACATAATGAATTACAAAATTTTATTTTTAAAGAGTGTGTATTTTTGTGCTAAGAAATAATTACTTTAGTTTGCTTTATGTTTGAATTCAGTTTCCTTAATTCATGTGAGGTGGCCTTTTGCTTATCAAAGTCAATGTTTTTATAGTCTTTCCATCATGTTTAGTGGTGGTTTTTTTTGTGTTTTTTTATCCACCTACACTTCCTCTCGCCCAATCATTATGTAAAATAGAAGTGGCATTTTGTTACATTATTAATAAATATTGCCCAGATGCAGAAGGTGCTTTAAGAAGAAGTGTCATCATTTAATTCTGAGCCTCTCTGAAAGGACTTTGATCTGTGTGTTGGATGTTCTCATACGCAGAGATGTAAATACCATTTTCTGTTCTGTTTCCAGGTCACATGTGCCAATTTAACAAATGGTGGAAAGTCAGAACTTCTAAAATCAGGCAGCAGCAAATCCACACTAAAGCACATATGGACAGAAAGCAGCAAAGACTTGTCTATCAGCCGACTCCTATCACAGACTTTTCGTGGCAAAGAAAATGATACAGATTTAGACCTGCGCTATGACACCCCAGAACCTTATTCTGAGCAAGACCTCTGGGACTGGCTGAGGAACTCCACAGACCTCCAAGAGCCGCGGCCCAGGGCCAAGCGAAGGCCCATTGTTAAGACGGGCAAGTTTAAGAAAATGTTTGGATGGGGTGATTTTCATTCCAACATCAAAACAGTGAAGCTAAACCTGTTGATAACTGGGAAAATTGTAGATCATGGCAATGGGACATTTAGTGTTTATTTCAGGCATAATTCCACGGGTCAAGGGAATGTATCTGTCAGCTTGGTGCCCCCTACAAAAATAGTGGAATTCGACTTGGCACAGCAAACCGTGATTGATGCCAAAGATTCCAAGTCCTTTAACTGTCGCATTGAATATGAAAAGGTTGACAAGGCCACCAAGAACACACTCTGCAACTATGATCCTTCAAAAACCTGTTACCAGGAGCAGACCCAAAGTCATGTATCCTGGCTCTGCTCCAAGCCCTTCAAGGTGATCTGTATTTACATTTCCTTTTATAGTACAGATTATAAACTAGTACAGAAAGTGTGCCCCGACTACAACTACCACAGCGACACACCTTACTTCCCCTCCGGGTGAAGATGAACACGAGGTTGATTGAGACTGAAGCCTGAGGAGTTAAAGGTCATATCACAGGGCTGTTACCTCAAAGAAGAAGGTCACGTCTGTTGCCTGGAATGTGTCTACACTGCTGCTCTTGTCAACTGGCTGCAAACCCGCTAGTGGAAAACAATCTGATGTCATTTCTGCCCAGTCAGCTTCATCTCTCAGTATAGTTGTAAATCACCACAGATTTTAAAGCCACACTTGAAGACATGCTCTCACACATAGACGTACACAAACACACACTGGTACACATTTCAGCTGGCATCTGTCACGATTCCTGTCGAGAGGGCTTTCATTGTCTGACTCATAATGGTTCAGGATAAAATATCAGCAGGCAAAAGGATTAATTGACAGTGAATGGTTTCTAACACTTGCTGTTGTGGAAATCTCTTTTAAAGTCTTGAGTCCATGCTAATCAATAGTTCCCCACTCATGCATTCTTACTGCTTGGAGTAGCTGTACTGGTAAATACTACTATAGGAGTATATGCTTGTTAAAATGGAAAAATTATGTCTTTAGAGCTCAGTATTCTTTATTTTATGAACAACAACAAAGTGTAGTAACTTTTTTCCAGCATACAGTAGGCACATTCAAGGTGATATAAGATGGCTCTTTTTTCTGGGGAGGGAGCTTGTTCTCCGTAAAGATGAGCCAACATTTGGAATTTACATGTGGGCAGACACTGGAGTACAGCTTCCATCACCAACCATTGGACTTTTACAAAGTTGAGACCAGCTAAAGCTGCTTAAAACAAGTTCTGATCATTCTATAAGAAGGGAAATGCCTGACAGACACCATGTAAGTTATACGTGTCTGTCTTATCTTTACTACACATATTGTAACAAATTCAATATCCTAGTCTTCATTTGTATGAATGGTTTGTATTGTACATAGTTTAACCAAGTGTTATTTGAGCTGCTTATTAATATTAACTTGTACTTGTCTCTCTGCTTGTTATTGGTTTAAAAAAGAAAAAGATATGAGGAATCCATTTTATCAATGTAGCTGTGAATCCCATTAAAAAAAAAAAAGAAACGTAATGTACAAAGCATTTATTCAGCTCAAGTATTGTTGACAACTATACATATACAACATGACAGTCTGTCTGTATTTAGATATTTTATTTCTGGACAAAATGAAATGTACATAAAAATAAAATGCTTAAAGTTGAGTTTCAATATGTGCTTGTGTAGGATGATGATTTAAATGGTTCTGACAAGGAGAATGTGTTGGAATACATGGTTTTGCATCTCATATCCCTAAATTTGTACAGAACTATCTAAATTGCTATTAGTTGCCCAGTCAAAACAACTTAGGGGCTTCCATCTCAAGCCTGGGAAGCAGCTGTGGCGTACAGCATTGCACACATTTTTGGTTTACTGTCATGCTAATTACTCAAGAATACCAAAAGTCAGTGGACACAAGAAGATAACTGAGGTCTCCTCAATTAATTATAACTAGTTGGTTTTTTCCTTGTATAGAGCCTTTTATAGCAGGGGGGCTGAGAGGAAGGCAATGTTGTTGGTTTTCTTTAAAAGAAAGTCAAGGTGTCTGAAGATTGTGGCTGACATTCTACTGTAATGACTCAACTCAGCCGAGAGAATTACAATAGCAGTGGAAGGCTTCAGTGCTCAATTTACTTATACCAAATGAGACAAACTTATCTATATAGGGTTGTTTATGGACATTAAGCTTGCTTTTAAAAAATAATTACTGTATACAATAGCAAAATAAACCGAGGAAGAAACACGTAAGGTAACTCCTTTTTAAAGGCATGAAATGGGGATTGGGGCATGAAGAATTTCAAAGGTCAACCAAAAAGGCCGAAGAAAGAACGCGAACCCGTTCTCATCTCCCCTTCGTGCTGCGTAGGGATACATATGTTTTTATGTAGAAATTCACAGGAGGTACTACAGGGAACCCAGAACCACAGAGTTGTCAAGTGAGAACTCAGTAACTGATTTAACTAACGAGAGCCTTCGGCAGCGAAGCAAAGATACATCATCCTGTTCAATGTCCATCTCTCAGAATTCTCCAATATAACTAGACAACCATTTATACCAATGTATTAATTTGCCATGGGATTTAGAAACTAATGTTAAAAATACTCTCTGGTACATAGGCAATCAGAGCTCTGGGAGTTCCAGCTGCTGGACATATTTTCACAGATGAATCTTGTTATTCTGGGGTTAATTCCTCAGAGTGATCACTTAGGAGTTAATTCCCTCTTAACAAAAAGGGGAATAAGTGCAAAGAGGAAAATTAATTTTTTTTTCAGGATCATTTGATTGGTGGACCATGGCTTTCATCATGTGGTCTACTCTGTCCTTTTATGATCCAAAATTCAAGATGAGGTGAACATACGCTTCAAACTCCACTCGTCTGCCCTGCTCTCCAACCTCCTCATGCAAGTTTTTGTTAAATTTTTGTAAATATTCAGAACCTAGATAACTAACATAATGAATTGAATTATTTTTCTGTAGTTTTTCTTGAGAAGAAAATAAAATAAAAAGAAAACATAGCAAACTTCCAATAAGGTTTTCAGTTTTTAAAAATCTGAACTTTCCTGGCATTTTTTTTCTCCTGGGCCTGTACACACTTCTCCTAAACGCCTACATCATCAACGCCTCCATCTGTAATATAGAAACGTCATCATCATAGAGAACTTTGATTCAAAAGACAACCTATTTGTATCCAGTGTCCTCCTGTTTCAGACAAGGAAATGGAAGAAGGAAGGGGATGGATATGAAGGTTCAAGGTTTCAAATAAAAACTTTATCAGGGCAACTTGTCGCTTCAACAAATGTTAGTTTTAATTATGCTAGAAAATCATTTGTTATTTGGAAAAATAAACTTTAAGCTGCACTAAGGATGTCACCTTCTCTAGAATCGCAGATACTATTTCACGCCTTAGCTAAGATACAGAGAAAAAACTGCAAGGTGGAAATAGATGACATCTGATGAGAACATGGGTTTGTCAGAACCTATTGTTAGTTTCAGAAACATCTTTAATAAGATTGAAATTATGAAGAAATGGTGATTGCAGCTTTTTGCCTCATGGAAGAAAAATTATACAAGTTACTGGTTTATCTGCTTATGATAAAAACGATGAATTGTCCTGGTATAGTTATAATTGGGCATTTTTTTGGGTCCATGGCTCTTGTGAGAATTTCTCTGCGTGAGTAAAAGGGGTAAAATTGTTCATAGCTCAGTACTAAAGTTCTGGAAGTTATTATTCTGCAAGTTATTGAGATACTTGTTATATTTAAAACTGTGGACTGGGGATCTTCAGGTTCCTACATTTCAGCAATAAACTGTAAGCCATATTTTTGCACAGAATAGATTAAAAACAATCATGAGAAGCCTGAGAAAGTGTTTGTCTTTTCCCTTTCACCCGCAGCTTTACATGTAAGAAGCAGCTTAACCAATAAAAACACCTCTTTGGAAAAGCAATTTGTGTCTCCACCATCAACTTTGGATGCCAAGTTTTAGCACGAAGCAAATTCCAGTAGCTGTGTTTATAAACCTTTGGAAGACTTGATTGATGTACCAGTTTCAGACATTTATTAATAGTTATTCAATTATCAACCCATTTTATATTTATCTTTTTATCTTCTTTAAACAAAATGCAAATCAGTTGATGCATTCAAAAATTAAAACTATTATAACATTCATTTGCATAAAAATAATTACTGTTTACCTAGCTTGTAGGTGGCACACACTGAGCACCTTGCTAGCCAGAACTGAATCCAGAAAGACTGCCAGGTCAAGCTTTTCTCAGGAGTCCCATGCATATCAAAGAATTATTTCAGGGGTTGGGAGCATAAGGAAAATAATCTTTCTTAATAAAAAATTACAGTGTATCATTGAGTTTTATATCCAATTCTATCACAGATATTTTTAAGTAACAAATTTATGATTACTTCTCTTTTTACTAGGATGGTAACAGAAATCCCATGAGTTTTATTTTCAATTCATTTGTGTGAGCAAGGTCTAGAGAAACAGCCTAAAATTAGGAGAGACTATTAGTCAAGCAGCTGGCCAAGTGTCCCAAGTTTGATCAAAAGCACTTTAATATCTATAGTTCTGCATTTGCAGGAATATGCCTTTTATCATTGATGGATTGGAGGGTGATTTAAAGGTTCCAGAAGTGATGGATGCAGACGTACAGACCTTCTGTCAGTGGCTGTTGTGGCCGTTGCCATTGCAGTTGTTACTGGAGGTGCCAGGTGGTGGTTCTCCCCAGTTCTAACCAGTGAATTAGACACACAGCTAAAGCTCTGTTCACATCATACACCCCTGACAGGTGCTGTTTTCTAGTTTCTAATTCTATGTTAGGCCTCCAAAGAGCAACTAAAATGTTTCTGCTCTCTGATGACCAAATTCCTTGACTCAAATACAGAAGCAAACTGTATTTGTACTTAAAGAAATAATGCAAGAAAGTTGTTAGAATGCTGCTATTGCCAACTGTGTATATTAAAATATATATATATATATTTTCTGTTACTGTTTATTTCATCAATTTTCTGAATGCAATTTTATTATTAAAATTAATTTCTTTTTTTGCATTTTTAAAATGTTCTCAGTAGAAAGCATAGTCAAATGACATATCTTAAGCAGGTTGAAAAAATGTCATGGAATTTAAAAAAATTTAGTATAGTTGACTTATTATGTTAGTTTCACTTGTACAACATAAACAACATAATGGTTGATCATTGTATATACTGTGAAATGATCACCAAACATAGTTACAAGGTTTTTCCTGGAGATGAGAACTTTTTTTTTTTTTTTTAAATATATCTTTATTGATTTCAGAGAGAGGAAAGGAGAGGGAGAGAGAGATAGAAACATCAATGATGAGAGAGTCATTGATCGAGCCCACAACCCGGGCATGTGCCCTGACCGGGAATCGAACCCCGATCGTCTGGATCCTAGGTCAATGCTCAACTGCTGAGCCACGCCCGGCCGGGCGGAGATGAGAACTTTTAAGGTTACTCCTAGCAAGGTTCAAATATGTAACACAGTGTTATTAACTATAGTCACCATACTATATATTACACTCCCATGACATTTTATAACTGGAAGTTTGTGCACTTCCACTTCCTTCATCCTTTTTGACATCCCTTCCCCGCCTCCAGCATCCACCAATCTGTTTTCTGTACCTATGAGCTTGTTTGTTTGCTTTTTTAGATTCCACATATCAGTGAGATCATGCAATATTTCTTCCTTTTTACTTATTTCACTTAGCATAATGCCGTCAAAGTCCATCCACCAATAATACAAGGAACCTGTCCTTTTAACAGAGAAAAAATCATATTCTAATTTTGCACCGGTATACCTTTGATATTAAAACTCCTTTCTACAAGTTAATTTTGGCAGTACCATCCAGATGTAGAAAAATATCACATATCTACAATATAGACACACATACGCATACAGAGAGATGCAAACAGAAACCTTATAGTTTTCATTCTAAAATGTTAGCTAGGAGTGAGGTGCAATATAAAACTCACCAGTTTATAAAAGAACAGTTGGAATGAAATTGTGTTTCTGGCAGATGGACAGAGTTAAAGTAACCTGTTGAGATGGCCAAAGATTTTTATTAAAGATTTTTTATTTGCACACTGTAAGGATTGTTTTTAAGCTTTTTCTTTTTCTTCTCTCCTCCTGCTTTTTTTTTTTTTTTTTTTTTCAGAAGGAAGAAAGAAATGTGATTTTATTGGACATTTTAACCCTATACCTGGGGGTTGCTAAAATATAATTTTATGACATTTTTCTGAACTCTTTAAAACAGTTAACTTTTTTTGAGCTATTTTTTCAAGTCATTTTGTCTTTTAGAAGCTTCTGCGTGCTGAAGAATCCATTCCATTGTCTCTGAGACGTTTGAGGTTCTCTCTTGTCAAGGGTGCCTCTTAGACCCAAGTGAGTTTCCCCAAAAAGTGGTCACCACATTCCAAAGTATCCAAAAGTTTAACCATTTTCCAAAAAGGCACAAGACCCTGGTCCTCAGTGTGTATACGCATAGAAAGCAGGAGTTTTTTGAGGGAGGTAAAGAGTTTCAGACCAGGTGGAATCCGCCTTTGCCTGGATTCCCTAAGAGGTATGAAGTATGAGCTGTCTCTTCACAGCTGCTTCAAAACAGGGAATCACATGTTCCTCCCTGCCCCCCCTTTAGAGCA